AAAAAAAAAAAAAAAAAAAAATCTTCAAGGTTAGGCTGATCCTACTAAGCCATTTTCAGTTGGGAAAATTATGTCTTTCTTTAGCTCTTCAGAAATTTCCTTTATAATTTCTTAGATAATTTCCTGTTGTCCCTTTTCTTCTCCCTGAAATTTTTATTTAGGATAAAGTTGAACTTCCTGCATTGTTGCTCTGTTCCTTTTGTATCCTCTGTGTATTTTCTCCATATATTGTAAAAGATTTCCTTTTCTTAATTTCCAGTTCTTTTACTCAGTTCTTAATTTCAGTATTCATATTGTCAATTTCCAAGAGCTCATTTTTGTCAGTTTGTTCCTTTGTTATTGACAGGTATAATATCTTCAGAATCTCTGAGTTTTTTATGACTTTTTTTGAGGGAGGTACTGGGGATTGAACTCAGGACCTTGTGCTTTTGAGGCAGTTGGGGGAGCCACTGAGCTAAATCTCTGGCCTAAGAATTTTTTTTAAAGCTTCTCATTTGTTCAAATTTCCTTATCCTTTATAGGGTCTGTTTTTTCTTTATTTTAGTCCTTGTCATGCTGTTGGTTTTCTTCAGATGCCCAGCAGTACAGTGGACCCTCAAGGTAGAATCATCCTGACATATGGGGTTAATTAGGTGAATGGAAGATTCATCTCCCTCTTGTTATCTATAGCACCTATCCAGGTAAGCATCCAGATCTCAGCTGTAACAACTTGAGTTACAACCAGTCTCTGGGAACTAATTGAGTTCATAAGTCAAGGGCCCACTGTCATTTTTTTGCCATTCATAATCAATGATGGAGGAGACCTTATAGGGTATAAGCCTTGAGTTCCTCTGGAATTGGTTGTCTGCTACATAGGGCATTATTCTCAAATCAAGCCCATGTTGCTCTCTGTGGAGCACAACCAGATTTCCTGCAGGGAAGTCCTTTGGTGCTGCATACCTGTAATCCTAGCATTCTGGGAAGCTGAGACAGGAGGATCACCATTCAAGCCCAGCTTGGGCAACTTGGTAAGATTATATCTCAAAAGTAAAAAAAAATTTTTAAAAAGTATATAAAGTGCTGGAGATGTAGCTCAGTGTGAAGGCCCTGGATTTAATCCCAGTACTGCTAAAAAAAAAAAAAAAGGAAGGAATGAAGGAAGGGAGGAGGGCAATAGTAAGGACCTAGGAATCCAGGCTGTCCACCAAACAGCCCTGAGTTAGACCACAAACTGTGCCACTTACACCATGGCCTTTGAACAGCTTGGTCAGCCTCTCCATTCATCCCTTGCTGTAGTTGTAAGGTGTGAGTATTAATTATATCTCCTGCACTTGATCACTGTGAGAATGAAGTGGCATTTATAGAGAAATCAGCAGATTGGCCCGAGTATACAGTATATCCACTGTTGTCAGTTGTGATACAAGTGAGTGTGCTGATGGATGTTGTCAGGGTTTGCTCTTCATTGATTCTGTCACATATGCAGAATTATTCAATGTTCAGGCAAGTATCATAAAGTGCTCGTTTTTGAGAAAACAATAGTGTTATGAATGGGCTCCTTACTATTATCCTTCTTCAGCTAACAAAACACAATTGAAAGCACTGAAGGTGATGTCAGTAAACTGACCCATCTCAAAGGCCCAGTTTCATTTCCCCACTCTAGCTGTTAGAATAAAGGCACAGCCAGACAATGGTTCTGACCTCCTGTCATCCAGGCTGTGTTGCTGCGGAGAACGTGCCTGACAGGGCCTTTGTTCATTACTCAGTTTGACTTTCTGAAGAAGTATAGGGCCTTCTTCTGACTTTCCAACATCCTTGGCTGTATCGCCATGTCACATCATCATCAGGACAGTGCATGGTGACACAGAGTCTTGGAAATGTTGTCTTTGTTGCTAAGACACTGCAGCTTACTTTTGTGAGTTTTGTTGTTCTGGTGGTGGTACTGAGGATTGAACCCAGGGAGCACTGAACTATATAGCTCCAGATACTATACTTGGTGGGCTGAGATGGGTGGATCATGAATGTCTTAGTCAGTTTTTTGTTGCTGAGACAAAATATCTAATACCCATACCCACAATTTAAAGGAGTAGAAGTTTGTTTTGGTTCACAGTTTCAGAAGTTTCAGTCCCTAGTTGGCAGTTTAAATGCAGAAACTGCAGGAAGGGCCAGGTGGTGGGAGAAAGCTGCTCATGTTATGGCAGCCAGGAAGGAGAGAGCAGAGGAGCACCCGTGACCCACCTCCAGCCAGGCTTCATTCACCTCTCACAGCAAGTCAGTATAGTGCCCCCATGATTCAGTCACCTTCCACTCTGGGTGTGGTTGTACATACCTGTAATACCAGTACTCAGGACACTGAGGCAGGAGGATTGTTGTGAGTTCCAGGCCAGCCTGGGCTAGACAAGAAAGCAAGACCCTGTCTTAAAAAAAAAAGAAACAAAAAACAGTCAACTTCCAAATACATGAGACATTAGGGGGATACCCCAGCTCTAAACTATAGCAGTGAGTTCAAGGCAAGCCTGGGCATTGTAGCCAGACCTTGTCTCAAAATTAAAGATTTTTGCTGGGTGTGGTATCTCATGCCTATAATCCCCACACTTGGGAGGCTGACGCAGGAGGATCACCTCAAATTGGAGGCCAGCCTGGGCTACATAGTGAATTCAAGGACAGTTTGAACTATACAGCAGGACTCTGAGACCCTGTCTCAGGAAAAAAAAATTAAAGATTAAAAAAAAGTACTAGGGTAGAGCACCTGTCTGGTAAGGCCTTGGATTCAGTCTGCAATACAACCAAAAAACAAAAACACAACAAAAAATTGCTTTCCTGGCAGAGCTCCTATTACAACATCCCATCCTCATCAAAATAACTTGAACAAAGATAGAGTCTCCCCTTTTTTTGGGAGAGGCAGTTGAAGCCAGACTGTCTTTAGACCACACCAGTATTTTGGTAGCTGGGCAAGTGAGTGCCTCCTTTGATTGAGTGGCTAGAAGTGTTTCCTCTACCAGGTGGGTGGAATAGCCATTTTGAGAAAGAGGATTGGTTCTACGGCCATACCACCCTGAATGTGCCCAATCTCAGCTGATCTCAGAAGCTAAGCAGGGTTGGCCCTGGTTAGTACTTGGATGGAAGAAAGAGGACTGGCATGTGTGCTGACCTAGTTAGGAGTTACAAGATTCTTTCGAATTCTGACCCTTTCATTTTGAGCTGCATGTTACTTTTCTCTTTCAGTTTCTTTCCCAGGAAAGAGACATTAATCATGTAGCCCCTGGGCACTCAATTCTCCTAAAGGTATTATGAGAATCAGATGTGCTTGTGTACAACAAGAGTTAACATTTATTCATTTTCTTAGTATACATATACTAAATGCTCAGTTCCCATACATGTGTTATTTAATTCTCACAGTCCTGAAATGGAAGCACATTTATCCCATTTTACAGTTAAGAAAACTGCAGTTCAGAGAGATAAGTCACCTATATCTCTGGATCCCAAATGACAGCTCCTGATGGTTGTGTGTCTCATTACTTTCCATTCCAAAGAGGTGGAGAGGTTTACATGTCTTCACTGTGGAGCCCTCAGCAATTGCAAGATGTTTTTATCTCTCCTCACCACTGCTGTTCCTTGTGGGTCCCTAAGAACAGTTAAATTCTCTTGTTTATCTTATCTAGGAGTGTATGCTAACTCTTTTCACACCCCATGGAACTGTTCAGTGACTTCTTTTGGGTTTCCTCCCTGAGAAACACTTTAGCTCTATCATAAAGAGATGTAAAGGAGCTGTCCTTAGAGCCCAGCACCTTCGTAAGCTCCCAGAAATGGTTTCAGTCAAGTAATTCCAGAAGATACCCATTTTACTGATGAGGAAATTTAGCACCAGACAGGGTGACAACTTGCTTGAGGCCATTCGTTGCTTTGAGGGTGTGGCCAAGACCAGTTCCTCAGGCCATAGACAGTGCTGTTTCCCAGCCTTCCCTGTGGGCCTGTCATCTCCCCACTGAAGGACAAACTGCTCTTGCCTAGCACTCACCTAGGAATCTGGAAAAAGTAAAGAACGGAAGAATTGGGAAGAGAGAAGAGAGATCGACACAGCATAGGGTGAAGGTATCTTCTCCAGTATAACAAATTAAAACAGCAAAGCAAAGTAGGTAGCCTAGTTATCAGTTATTAAAAGCAGAGGGATCTATGCTGGGAGCCTTGGTGCGTGAGTTGATAGGAAGCCTTTTGTTACTAATGCTGCAGGGTAGAAAATTGAAGGAAGGATGTTAGGCAAATGTGACGGGCATGGGGTAAGTTACAGTCCCTGGCTCATTGTCCAGAGGAAATGGATCTCTCCCGTGGACAGAGAGGTGGAAACTGAGCAAGTGAGTTGAGTGGTTGACATCATCAGGCTGAGCATTGGATTACAACAGATGGGGACTTACTTGGCCCGGGACATGGGAAACACCCACTAAAACCTTAAAGTGCTTTTCCTTTAGGAGAGAGCGAGAGAGAGAGTGAGAGAGCGAGAGAGAGAGAAAGAGAGAGAGAGAGAGAGAGAGAGGTTGCTGCTGCTTGGGTCTGGACTACTCATCCTGAATCCTGATTTCTTAACTCTACGTTTACTTGTGAGGAGGACAGAGGACGTCTGGACTTGGAGGAAACTTTGCTCCTGTGAGTAGAATTGTACCAACCCTCCACCCCCAGCTCCAGGGAGAGGCAGAGTTCTCTGGAGAGCTTGCTTTCCAGCCTGTTGGTCACAGAGGGTCTATTTTTATATTGTAATATATGTGAGTTTGCTCTAAATTATAGCTTTCTCTGAAATTGCCTAGAGCTAAAAGCAGAGCCTCAAGTCACAGATGGGCTCCATTCAAATGCTGGTTTACTTTTTCACCCCAAGAACTCTGACAGAGTATCTGGAGCTTTAAAAACAGGGTTTTTGTTTTTTGTGCCATTTACTGGAGATTGACCCAGGGCTTTCACACTGAGCTACACCCCCAGCTCTTTTTGAAAATTTTATTTTTTATTTTGAGAGAAAGTCTTGCTAAGTTGTCCACCTGGGTTTGAACTTGTACTCCATCTGCTTCAGCCTCCCAAAGTGCTAAAATTGTAGGTATGTGCCACCTTACCTGGCTTAAAAGCATTTCTGTGCCCCAGATATAGGTGAAGAAGTATATCCTCTTTTAGAAGTTGGTGTTTGTAAACTTTAATTTTTTAATTACAAAGATAGTATGAAATTTTTATACCTCCTTCAGTGAAATATCTCTGAAAGTGAAAATTCCAGTCTTCTCACAAACCTAAAATTGGTACATATATGGTTAGATTTAATGAGGTTGTTGTATCATATACTATAGAAGCTGTGTGGAGAACTTTTTCAAAATGGAAAGGTGTAGAAATCTTTAACTTTAGCTTGGGCTTTGTGATCCTTTTAGTCCTTTTTTAAATTTGCTTTTTATACCTAGAAAATAAAACAGAACATGTAAATCTTGAGGAGCCCTATTTGTTGGCATCTGTTTTCAGGAATCTAGACAAAGCAAGCCACTCTGTGCAGGGAGAGGAGGCCTTGTTGCCCCAGCACCCTTCCTGGTAGATCCCTGAACTGAAGGCTCTCAGGAAGCTGAAAATGGGTTGTAGGATAATGTGGCCTGTTTCCCCTCTTAGCAGACTAAATATATTTAAAAAGTTGCAGTTAAAGGAGAAATATTTCAGCTTTGAAAAACAAAAAGCAGGACTGGGAGTATAGCACAGTGGTAGAATGCTTGCCAGCCCTTAGTTTGATTCTCAGTACCATAAAAAAAAAAAAAAAAAAAAAAAAAAAAAAAAAAAAAAAAAAAAAAAAA